GTCCGGTCTGGGCTCCCCCCTCGCCCCCCCCCCCGCAGCCTGTCCACTGCCTCAGCCAGGCTGCCCCCTGACAGGCGCCTGTTGTTCGTCCACACCGGGCGTTGATTCCAGCAGCAGCAGGGCTAGGGGTGCAGGGAGAGGAGTGGCTGCCTCTGTCCGCCCAACTCCTGGGCAAATATGATGACCTTTTAAAAAAAAAAGTGATTTAGTCTCCACAGCTTTTACGTTTTTCCCAGTAGAAGGTTCACACATAGGGGAACAGCTCACTTGTACACGGTGCCGGCGGCCGGTTTGTAAAGAGCTTTGCCCCCTGCAGGCTGGCAGCCGGCAGAGCGGACCCAGGCCACTTGTCTGGTTGCGATAAAGGCTGCAAGTGGGAAACGGCCTTTAAATATGTATATTTATTCCAGAGGGAGAGGGAGACGGAGAGAAACATCCATGATGAGAGAGAATCACGGACGCGCTGCCTCCTCCTCGCCCCTCACAGGGGACCGAGCCCGCACCCCGGGCCTGTGCCCTGACCGGGAATCCAGCCGTGACCTCCTGGTTCACAGGTGGACGCTCACCCCTGAGGCACAACGGTGGGGCTGAAACCACCTTTTCATCCGTTTTTCTGCAGGCTCCTGGCTGGCTGCCAGGGGGTGGCTGTGCCCGTGTCGGCGATCGCCCCCGGTCCCCAACAGGACGTCCTGGTGGCTGAGCAAGTTTGAGACCCGGGAACTGGAAGCGAAATGTCCGGTTCACTGGCGCGAGGCCGGTGTGTGTTCTGAGGTGAGTTCGGTTTTGCTGCAGCACGTCCGTCACACGAGTCCTGACGCCCTGGCAGCCTGCGAGTCGTGGCCGCCATTCGCAGCGACAGCCTCTGGGGGGGTTTGGGTGCCCGGCCTGTGGCCTCCGGGGCAGCTGGCCGAGCACAGTGTTTCTGGTAAAGGAAGAAAAAGAAGTGACTCTGGGTGAAGTCCCCACTGGAATGGGGCCCCCTTCCTGGCCCCTACCGGCTCCTGGCCCTCCGCGCCCTGGTGGGGCCTCCCGAGGTGGGGGTGAACTCGGACCCCAGGGCCCGGTGTCATGTGGAGTCCAGTTGGCCAGGTGCTGGGCTCCAGGGTGGACGGTGACAAAGGCCAGGCAGGGACGTGGGTGGAGGAAAGCAGTAGAGAGGCCTGGACATCACCCCGCCCGCCTCACGAGGGGCCTCGGTGCTTCTGAGGCCGGGGGGGCAGGGGGCCGGGGGCCGGGCGCCCATCGCCGTGGCAGGTGTGGAGGAGGGGCAGCGGGCAGGCGTTGCTGGAGGCCCTGCTCAGGCTCCAGGTGATGCCACGCTGAAGCGGAGGGCAGACCCCAAGACCCCGGGGAGGGGTGTGGAGGGGCGGTGACAGGAAGGCTCTCAGGCCGCGGGGGCCCCAGAACAGGACCCTCCTCTGTTCGCCACTGTCCTCGGGTGTTGGTCTGGGCAAGAGAGGTGAGGGTGGGGGGCACCCACGGTTAGTGCCCCGACCTGGGGGTGTCACATGTGGGCTCCCGAGAGGGTCAGCCCTGGGA